GCGGAAGCGCAGGCGAGTGCGGCGGGTGCTCGTGTGTGTGAGCGCGCGCCCGTGTCCGCGTGCCTGCGCACGTGCGCGGCCGCCCGCTGGAGCCCTCGCGCTCCCATAAAAGCCCTGTGTCGCCCCCCACGTCGTGTCCGCCTGTTCTTGCCGAGAGCGGCAGCAGCCCGGGCCTCGGCAGCGGCGCGGGCGGGAGCCGGGCCGTGGCGCCGTGGCCGGGCCCTGCGGGGGCTCCGGGCCCTGCGGGGGCTCCGGGCACTCTGGAGCTCGGGGGAGGGTCCCCTGTCCCTAAACTGTCCCCGTGCTGCCGGACACCAGGTGCCCGTGGTGGGGCCCGCGCTCGGGACCCGCTCCGCCCCGCCCTGCTGAGCCCGTGCAGGGCGCCGAGCAGCGACGTTACTCACGTGCGCACCGGCACGCGGCTCTGCTTCCGCACCGCCTGCGCGGCGGGGGCTCGCCTGCCCCTCTGAAGCTCTTTCCGTCTTTTCCAATTCCAGCACCGCGTCCATCAATCTGACCAGCTGCAAGTACGAGAGCGGTAAGTCCGCGGTGTTGCGGGTGCCCCTCCAGACGCAGCCGCCRGCGCGAGCTCCCGGCGACGCCTGGTGAAGGTTGCTCACAGCGGAGACCTCGCTGCGTAGTCGCTTCTCTGTGTTTATTATTTGCAAGCGACTTGGAGCCCCATGCTCTGGACTGAGGGGGTTTCTGGTTTAAAGAGATACAAAACACGGAGCCTCCTTCACAGCCGATGCGAAGGGTCACTTGGAGCAGTTGTGATGCGAGACTCACTCGCRCTTGAGACCTGACCTGAGAAGTTAATTTAACGCTCTGCTTGTCGCAGAACGGGCCACAGAAGGGGCTGCAGAGGCATCTGGGACCCCTCTTGGCCGCCTCCTCCCGTGACAGGCGCCAGGCAGCTCTTCTCCCGTCTGCCCTCTGTCTGCCATGGCGTGTGTCACGAGAAGAGGCTCACCGCGCCTGACGGGTGTCACCAGCCAACCTGCTCATCACACTTACCCCGGCATTGCAGCGAGGCCGTGTTTCCCCGGCTCTGCGGAGCTGCTCTCTGCCCCGATCAGCCCCCGGCAGTGGCTCGGGCAGGGTGGGCAGGAGGGGACGGGGCAGCGCAGGAGCCCGGCCCGTGCGCGCTGCGGCCGCGGGTCCCGGCCCTGCCGCGAGCAGCCGGCAGAGCTGCTGCGCCCGGGATGTGCCGCAGGACAGGGAGCTCGGCAGCGGCGCCGCGCCGCTGGCAGGCGTGCTCGGATGCTACCAGCAAAGAACAAGCTGTTATTTATTCGGGTACAGCCGCCTGCTTGTGAGTGCCTACGGAGACGGAGGCTTCCGTCCGTGAGCCACCCTTGTTGTGCTTTCTTGCCCTCCTGCTCCGGWTCCGCGCCTGGGTGTACCCTTGATCCCCTCCCCAGCTCGGGAAGAGGCCAAATCGGGATGGGCTCTAGCAGTAACCATCCCAGTAGCAGCCTGCTGCCCCAAGAGCTTGTGCGCCCTGCTGCCAAACAGCTCTCGATGTAAAGAAGAAAGCAGCACCTTGYGCAGGTCCGTGAGGCGGTGCTGCCGGGCCAGGAGCAGGCTCCGGCCTGCCCTAGCTCCAGACGTGCTCGTGCAGCCGGGGCAGCGGGCCCGGGGCCCACAGCGGCCCGGGTTCCCGCAGCCACGGCTCCTGGTGACCACAGCCAGGTTAAGCTCGGGTCCCTGCAGGGTCCCCCCGGTGTCTTGTCGTCCACGAGAGTGGAAGAGGGAGGTTTGCTCCAAAGTCCTGTCCCTTTCCTCTTTGGAGGCTCAGCAAGCGCTGGGCTTTATAGGCTCTGCCTGCTCCAGAGGTGCCCTTTCTCACCGCTCTCTTTGGCACAGTGCGGCGCGCTGCGCAGAACTGCGGCCTCAAAGAAGTGGGTGAAGATGAGGAGTGGACAATATACTGGACTGACTATTCCGTCTCTCTGGAGCGTGTCATGGAGATGAAACGGTTTCAGGTAAATGCCCCTCCAAGGAAAGGGAGCCCAGCGGGAAGAGCTCGGGAAAGGAGGATGAGACAGAGGGTCATTAATGGAACATGTTGCTGCAGAGCGAAACAGAAGTGTGCAGAATTAGCTCCCGTATCCCCTTCTTGTCTGCAGCAGCTCCAGAGTGGATAGGTTCACTAGCCCTTTCTCATTTCTCTTTCTGACGCGGTGCCACCAGYCACAGTTTGGCAGTTAGTAGTGTGAACTGGAAGGCTGCCAACCCCTTTAGTACGAAATAAATGTTTCTCGCTGAAAAACTGCTCCCTTCCTGAAACAGTGATATTCTAGGGAGGGAGAGCTGCAGGGCTGGATGGAATGGGCAGATAAATCATACTGATGAGGTTCAGATAAAGCAGCTCTCGCATAATCTGTTCCTCAGCAGACGTTCAAGGCGAGCCCCCGCTCCCGTTCGGTTTGCTGCCTCTCCAAACACGGGCTCCCTTCGCTCTTGACGGTCGCGGCTGCTGCTCCTTTGCTGATTCTGTTTTTCTTCTGCACCTGTTTCAGAAAATCAACCATTTTCCAGGCATGACCGAGATCTGCCGCAAGGACTTGCTGGCTCGCAATCTTAACCGCATGCTCAAACTCTTCCCCAAGGAATACAATATTTTTCCCCGTACTTGGTGCCTGCCAGCTGAGTGAGTTGTACATGTTAATGCAGCAGACGACAGGGAGGGGGGAATTAGGAAGTGGTAACCACTGTAGCCAACAGCCAGGCTGTGGGTGAAGCCCTCTGAGGTTTCCTATCTTGCTTTGGGCCTCCGTAAGCTCACCTGGAATTAAATGGGATGTTTTTAACCATATTTCCATCTTTACATATCTTTAAGCCTAATTGCTTGGAGTTAGCCTGTGGAACGTCTGCCTCGCTGCTTAACTGACTGCAGGCTGAACTGGGCCAGGTGTGGGGAGACAGGTCCACCCTGAAAGCAAAGGGCCGAGGACGAAGCTGGGGCCGCAACGGCTGCGTCTGCAGCGAGCAGCGAGCAGGAGGGGTGCCGTGGAGCGCGGTGCGAGACCCTTCGCAGACAGACCGGGCTCGGAGCCGCCCGGAGCAGGCGGCGAGGCAGCGTCGCCCGCGAGCGGGGACGTCCCTGCAGCCTTCCTCGCGCTGCTGCCGGCTGCCACAGCAGCGCGTGCGGAGCGGCGGCTAGGGAGGAAGCGCGGGCGCCTGGGCCGAGCCAAGCCCAGGTTTATGTAAGCTGTCACGCAGCTATTCGAGCTCTGGGGCAGCACGGCCGGCTCCCCTGATGCTGCACAGACCAGCAATGCTAGCAATGCAGAGCTGCAAGAGGAGAAAGAGCACTCTAAGTTCAGCTGGTTGTAAGGAGACACTCTATTCCTAGACATTCTCTACAGGGTTTTTCCTTGCCATTACCTAAAAACCTCAGAGAAAGGCTTTCATAACCTGTCCTACAGCCTGACTCAGCTCCGGTGAGAAGGACCTGAAGCATCTGTGCTGACATGTCAGCACCATGGAACTCCTCCCATTTACACYGGCCTTGTAAAGCGGTGCTTTGCTGTGTTTTGCTAATAATGTGTTTTGTATTGGAAGGCAGATGTCATGTGTCCTCTCAATCGTCTTATTTCTAGAGAAAACAAACCTACTTCTTTCTTTCCACGCTACATTTCCTGGAATCTGATTCCTCTCTGATTCCTCTTGGCACTGTCTTCTGGAATTTATCCTGTTTGCCTACCTCTTTTCCTACCCGTGACGCCCAAGACAGAGGCTGTGCGGTGAAATAATTAACTGGCACACGGGTGTGACTCCTCGAGCAGCCCTGGGTCAGGGGAGCTGCTTGCGAGACCAGCTCTAACGTGACGGCTAGGAGCCTTTGCACCCTGGTTCGAGCATTCTGACCGGGGCTGTTTGCTGATGACTCAGAACAAAAGTGGTCTAAAAGCGCACAGCTTCTTCCTCCTTTGTAGTCAGAGCCTGTTTATTTTCTGTGGATCTCCCTGCAGCAGCAGAGCCAAAGCCCTGCCCGCTCCCGCGTGAGGAGCAATGTTCTTTTCCTCTGAACCTCCCAGCAGAGGTGAGGATAGGTGCAGCCAAACCAGGTTTATAAGGGCCAGACATAAATCAGCAAGTGCCCCACTATTCCTCTGCTGTAGAAGTTTAGTCTGTCCTGGCCCACCGCACCTTGGTTTGAGCATCTAAATGCTAGGAGAGAGTTCAGGGGCTGGTTTTGTGTTTTGTTTTAGAGCTTCTAATGGTCGCTCTTTCGTTCTATAGCTACGGGGATTTCCAGACCTATACTCGTGTGAGGAAAAACAGAACATTCATCTGCAAGCCCGACAGCGGCTGCCAGGGGAGAGGTATCTTCATAACACGTAACGCCAAGGATATCAAGCATGGAGAGCATATGATTTGTCAGCAATATATCTCTAAGGTAACAGGGCCTGTCTTCAGTGTGGGTGTAGGACTCCAGCTTCCTAACTCTGCATCCTGCTCGTCTCCTTTGCCCGACTCCTTCCGCACATATCCCTGGGCCTCGCCACGGCTGCTGCACGTCCACTGCWCGCCCACGAGCAGTGCAGCTAGAGCAGCCTCACGGAGTCAGCAGCACACCTCTCGTTTCTCCTCTCACGCTTGTTTCTGCCTTTTGTCTCGCAGCCTTTCCTTATTGATGGCTTTAAGTTTGACATGCGTATCTATGTGCTGGTCACCTCCTGTGACCCGCTGAAGATTTTTGTCTACAAGGAAGGGCTAGCCCGGTTTGCTACCATGAGGTACATCGAGCCCAGCAGCAGCAACCTGGTAAAAAAGGGAAGTTTCCATAAAACTCGCATAGTATTCATAAGTTCTAGCCACTATTTTGTCTAAGGGGTGTTCCAGGCCCTGGAAAGTCAGGGGCTGGTGGTTTTCCTAACTCTTATCTTCCCCTCTCTCTGTACCCTCTGCTCAGACAAGGCTTTTCAGGAGTATTTGCAAGATAGAGACTCCCTAGTCCTGCAGTTGGGCCATTCACTGGCCCTGCCTCAGAACTGTAGAGTTATTTGCGCTGGAAAGAACTTTGGAAGATCTCAAGTCCAACTCCCTGTTCAAAATAGGGTCAACACTGAATTCAGATCAGGTCGCTCCCGGTTTTGTCCAGCTGGGTCTTGAAGATCTCCAAGGACAAAGGTTCTGCATGGTCTCTGGACGATGCTGCTCCTGCTGTTGCCCTTTTTGAGCTGTCCTGACTCCGTCCCTCCTCATCCCGCCGGCCTCCTCCCAGCAGGAGARGGAGCTGGCGACTGGCTGGTGGTAGCGGAGCAGCCTAGGAGAGCCGGGCAGGGAAGGGGCGGGAAGGGTGCGTGCCATGCACAGGCCCTTCTCCTCCCGGCCGGTCTCTGTGTGCCGCCGTCCCCAGCGATGGACAGCGGGGCTGGCGCCCTGCATGCTCACCGCTGGCTGGTGTCTGGCAGGAGATGCTCCGGGCTGCTGCCTGTCTGCCCGCCTACGCAGGAGTGCTTATTTAAACGCCCTCTTTCCCTCCAGTATGTGTATGTCTCAGAGAGCTCTGCTGCGTTTGGGGAATAAAGGAAAAAGATGGATTTGCAGAGATTCTCTGCAGCTTCTGTCCAGGGAACTGCCTCGTTTACTGGTGAGGCCACAGCCAGGATGGCTCTTGTGGAGGTGACTCCAGCGCAGTGGCCCCAGAGGTTAGGAGGGAAGGTGTGGAGGGGCTGAGCTCTGCTCTGGCCAGAGGGAGTCAGGACACGATCAGCTCCTTGCTGCCAGCCACCCTCTGCGTGAAGAGGCAGGACCGGGGCAAGCTGGTCACGAGATTAGTTAGTACTAGTGGGACTTGGGGGCTGTTTTTCTATTTGCACTCTGAAGTTAAGAATAAATGAAGGTCTCTTGCGGTTCCTCTCTCAGGATGATATCTGCATGCATTTGACCAATTACTCTATCAATAAACATAACGAAAACTTCGTCCGGGATGACACAGTGGGCAGTAAGAGGTATTGTCGTTTCTAGATGCTACAACTCCTCGTGCACATCCTGCAGGAAAGCTGCATTTGGGACACTCGTTTACTTCATTCTTTCTTGGGGGAAATTCAGAATCATAGGTCAGCTCTTATCATTTTCTGTCTTCCGCACAGGAAACTGTCCACTGTGAATGCCTGGATGATGGATAACAGCTACAACACAAAGAAACTCTGGGAAGATATTGAAGATATTGTTATAAAGACCCTTATTTCAGCTCACCCTGTTGTGAAGCACAATTACCAAAGCTGCTTTCCTAACCACACTACTGGCTGTGCCTGCTTTGAGATACTGGGTTTTGATATTTTGCTGGATAGAAAGTTGAAACCATGGCTGTTAGAGGTGAGGAAGAATTCTCCTGCTGTGYTGAAACCGCTCTGGAAAGAGCAGATAGCCGAGAGCTCGTCTGTGGGAAGCACTAGAACAAAGAGTTGTGGGATGAATACAACGTGCTTAAGGTTGATTAAAATGAGCCACCTTGTTCAGCGTTAAACAGGCTGGGAAGACAAGTGGCCAAGCAGCCTACCTACTGCAGGCTAAGCAACCTTAGCTCATCACATCTGAGATCTTGCTCCCTCTGCACCCTGCGCAGCAGCAGGAGTTTCCTTGAGCTGTGGCAGCCCTGTGTTAATGACAGCYGCCCTGCTCTTGCAGAAGCAGCCGCTGCGCGCGCCTGCCCGCACCGTTGCAGCAGGAACATGCAGCGCAGGGGCAGGTGGGGGGCACAGAGCTCGCTGCTCGTGCTACTTTGTGGGAGCTGCTTGTTGCCACGTTAGATCAGCCCCTTGTCTTGGCAGGTCAATCACTCTCCCAGCTTCACCACGGACTCGCACCTGGACCGAGAAGTGAAGGATGCTCTTCTCTTTGATACCATCAACCTGATAAAYGTGCATGCCTGTGACAAAAGGAAGGTGCTGGAGGAAGACAAGCAGCGGGTGAAGGAGCGGCTCCTTCAGGCCCCTCACACTGGCCGTGCGTCCAGGTACCGCTCTTGCCCATCGTGCTGCAGGCTGCACTGGGAAGGGCTGGCCGCGGTGGGGCAGGCTGAAACAGAGGCTGCTGCGCTTCAGACCAGGGCTCCCAGAAGTGGCTCCTGAGAAGAGCTCGCCCAGGTCACCTGCACCCTAGACGGGAAGGGGCAGGACTGGTTTGAGGTGTCGGGAGGTGTGGGGCGCGGGGCCCTGGCGCTGCCGGGCTCGCAGTGACGCTGCCTGGACGGAGCGCGGCACTGCCGGCGCCTGGACGCCCTCCAGAGCACAGCCTCTTTCCCAGGGCTGCGGGCTTTCCCACCCTTCTTTGTCTGCATATCCTTTCATGGTTAATTAATCCACATGACCTCTTGAGGCCGTTTTGGAGGAGCCTGCTCTCCGGGCTTTTCCTGGCATGCAGGGTGATGAGGAGCTCCCTGCWGCTCCCTTTGCCATGAAGAAGCCTGCGGGAGCTGCAGGCTGGGGAAGCTGAGCGTGTTTGCCCAGTGCCCCTGCAGCCCCCGCTGCTCCGGGCCTGCCTGCAGAGCTGAGGGGCAGCACAGACTTCTTCTATAGGCAGCTTTTAGGTGAAGTTTTCTTAAAACTGGTTTAGTTCTGTGAAAGGGCTGAGGGGCAGGGAGTGAGCTGCACAGCAGGGAGAGAGCTGAGAACCTCCTATGGGGAGAGGAGGAGTGTGAGGAGCATTGCTTCCCTTCAGTGAACCTGTGGGAGGAAGCGGGGGGAGATGCCAGGCGGGCCCCTTCCTCAGCAGCTCGTTGAGCGGCCCCTCTGCCCGTGTGTGCTCTGTCCGCAGGCGCGAGGAGCTGGAGAGCAGCCAGGCCGCGTGGCTGGCGCAGGCGGAGCGCTACGAGGACTCCCACCTGGGAGGCTTCCGGCGCGTGTACCCGGCACGCGGAACCGACAAGTACGAGCCGTTTTTCAAGCAGAGTGGCTCCCTCTTCCAGGAGACAGCAGCCTCCAAGGCACGAGAGCAGTGTGCCAGGTACACGTAGCGGTGGCGTTGATGCTGCTCGCTTCTGCTCCCGCCTTGGAGATGACGCTCTGTGGCTTAAGAGCTGTAAGAGAGGTGGTGAGAGCTGGAGGAGGGGGCTGTGCCTTCATTTACCCGCCGTTGGGAGGCGGGCRCAGTATTCCGTGGAGTTGGGGCTCTCTTGTGTGTCCTCCACCTTTGTGCTGGGCCTAAATGAATTCAAGAGCACTTCCGACAGAGGCAAGAATCGCTTTTGAAAGCGCTCCCAGCCCCTTGCTTGGCAGCTTCCATTATGGTCTCTGCTCACTGCAGAGCTGCTGGCTGTAGGATCATGTCCCTGAACCAAACTCTCTGCAGCCTCTTAGTGAACCAGTGACCATGACTGATGTTTTATGGCAGGCAGCAACTGGAGGAAATTCGCTTGAAGAAGGAAGAGTTGGAAGTTCTTACTGGGAAGAAGAAGAAAGAGAGAAAAGAAGCCCTGCAAGGAGAATCRGCTGGGGACAAATCCCAGAGCCGTAACAAAACCGGAGCTCCCACCACCCAGCTCACCTACAGAAGCACCAGGGTGTGGGACAGAAAGGTACCTTTTTCCCATCCTCAGTGSTCGTCCGTGGGGCTCTCAAGGGCAGTAATGCAGCTCCATATGGACCCATAGGTATCTCTTGAGGAGCAGAACTACAGGGTCAGACCTCTTTTCACAAAGTTTCATTAGTYGATGGCTTGTGCTAGGAGACACTTGTGGTCACCACTGTTGCTCCTTCTGTGTTGTGCTTCCCACATGGACCTTCTTCCCACTCCACCCTGATGTCTCTAATTCTCCCTAGGCCTCTCTAGTGCAGTCTGTAGTCTCTGTGCAGTCTTTTTCTCCCTTGTGTATTACCCATGGCTTCAACTTGGCTGTAACACAGCTGTTTCTTTCCTAAGATGCAACAAATGCAGTATGACTCTATGCTGCCCCAGGATATTGTGGAAAAGGAGGAGCAGAAAAGAGTGAAGGCTCTTGTGCAGCGTGAGAAGCTCATCCGAAGCCTCGGCATCGTAGATCAGCTCTCCTGGCTGATCCCCACAGCTCACAGATCAGCAAACAGCTCCTGCGCTGTTGTCGCCCAGAGCCAGGTAACCGAAGGCTGCCCAGACCYGTCCTGTAAGGAGACAGGATCCATCCACAGGAGACAGACGCTCAGGGGGGAGCAAGAGGAAGGCGCCCTGATCGCTGAGCACCTTTGGTGGGGCTGAGTTAAGTGAGGTGCAGCGAGGACTCTGGGTCCTTGGGGCTTTGTGTAGTTAGATTTTCTTCTCGTTACCAACGGGCACCCCAGGCCAGTCGCCTGTGAGAGCCCTGAGCAGCCTCCCCCAGACCGTCCCCATGGCCACCCCGAAGGGCAGTGCAGGGCCACGCTTTTCTTTAACAATGTGGTCTTCTGGGCACAGCTGTCGCCAGCACGCAGCTCCCTGCTTCTGCTGGGCAGTAACGTGACTCGCTCAAGTGCTAGTTAGCTGGCTAGTGCCATTTCAGCACTTCAGTTAAATAAAGTGAATTCCTGGGTAGGCTTCTAGCAGCTACGAGTACTAACGTACTAGGAGCTTGGTAAAGGAGCACAGAACAACGAGGGGCTGAAGGGAAGTGGAGGGAGGATAAATATATAATTAAAAAGTCCATGGGCGAATTCTGCACTGTAGAAGATGCCTCCCCCAAACTCCCTGGCTTGGGGTAACGGCAGCCCCGCGCGCGGGCTCYGTCCGTGCGTGTTTTCCAGCACTGCTGGCGGAGGCGGCGGGGCCCGCGCGCCCCGTGCGAGCAGCGCGTCCCCAAAGCCCTGGCTGCGCCGCGGCACATCCCGCTGCCCCGTGGGATTGGGCTCCCCCAGGAGCGGGCTCGCCTGGGAATGGTCCCGTTTTTCACCATGGGAGTCTCTGCGGGCGGAGCTGTGCTCCTGCCCCAAACCCTGCTCAGACGCGGCGGGCGGAACGTGGGGGCTCTGAGCGCCGCRGCAGCCGACGAAGCGGCCGCAACGGGCGACGGGCTCGCGGGGTGCCCGGGGTGCAGGGAGCAGCGGGCGCCTTTCTGCTGCCGCCCTGGGCCGGCCCGCGGCTCTGAGCGCGGCGCTTGCTCTCCCCGCAGCTGCAGCTCGCCCGGCACCCGCTGCGGGCGCAGGAGGCCCCCGCTTTCATGACGCTCATCCCGCTCTCGCTCCTGGGCGCTGCGGACCAGGCTGTGGCACCACCCGTCACGCACAAGGCTCCCGCCAAGGCCCAGCTGGCGGCCAGGCCCAGCTTCTGCCCCAGCGCCTTGGGCTCCCTCTGGGTGCGGGGCCAGGGCGTCCCTTGCCACGAGCACGSTGGGACTCAGCGCTGCGTCCTGCCGCGCGACGCAGGCTGCGCGCGGAGCCGTGCGGCGCCGCCCGCCGCCCCGGCCGGCCCCGAGGGCCACGTGCTGCAGGTGAGAGGCCGGCGGCTCCCCGGGGCCGCGAGCAAGAGCGGCGGCTGCGAGTGCTCCATCTGAACGACGGTGCTTGGACATGACCTCCCGAGGGCCCCCGGTCCTCCCGGGCTGCTTGAATGACTGTTCCCGGCTGCCGCGCTCTCCCGCTCCCGTCTGTGTCAGTTAAAGCGTGTGTCCTCCTGTTGSATCAAAAGCAACCAGCAAAGCCCTGTCTGTGGTTCTCAGCTGCTGGGGGCCGGGCTGTTCTGGATCTTGGCAAAGTGGGGCGAGCCGGGGAGCGGGAGCCGTGTGCCAACAGCTCAGGATGCCGGGGCCTGGCTGGGAGGGGAGGAGCGCAGGGACCAAAGGGCCGCTCGGAGCGYGGCGGCGGCGACGCTGCCCTGTCACCCTGGCAGGACCCCCGACGTGCGGGGAGCCGAGGGCACTGCCCGGGACACGGGCGCTGAGCGGAGCCTCCCTCGGCCGGTGCAYGTTCCATCCCATCGGCTCCGGGGCTGCCCTCAGCCCTCCGCACGGAGCTGCCCCGGTTCCGCTGCGGTTACGGGGCGCTGCACGGGGCTTTC